CTCTTTGGTAGGGAAAACGAGCAAAAGACAAGTTGAGGGTTTGTTAGTCCTCAAATTAACTCCAGTCACAGTCTTCCTTTATTATTCCCGGAGAGGTAAAGACCAAAATGTTTAAAGAGTTGCATAAAAAATGTTTTGTCCCATCCACTGTCTTGATGATGTGTAAATTGCAATGGACTTAGCATCAAAAACCATGGGTTCAAAACTTGGCTCTCCTACTGACCATCTACGTAACCTTTGGCAAATCATTTGATTTTTTGAGTGGCTCAGTTTCCTCATCAGTAAAATGAGAGGGTTGGACTGAACTACCTCTACAGTCCCTTTGGGCTCTGTATCTTTGGCAAGACCAAGCTGCTGCTGTATACTGACAGAACAATTCCACTTTCCAGAGGTCACACTGGACCCTCTTTCTATCTTTACTATCCACCTTTCCTATACCCATTGGATGAACTATGCTGGGCATGTCCAGCCATTCTAAGTGGGAGTCATCATCAGGACATACACCCATATAGTAGATTCACTGCCTTATGCTTTACGTACCCTTTCAGTGGTCCTCTTGCTAGAATTCTCCTGCTATAGTTCCCTCCACTTTTCATGCTCAATGTTGTACCAGCAGCAGGATAGCTTTAAAAAGTCGAGCTACCACTTTAAAAAGTGCAACCACTGAAAGTTCTTCATCTTCGAATCCCTCCTTGGGGGCCCAAAACCTTCCAAACCTTCCTCCCTCAGCCCCCTCCCACCAGCAACAGCCCTGTTCCTTCTCTGATGTTCCTCTTGCCTACCACAAAGCTTCAGCTCTTTGTGTCTGACTTCGCACTCATTTCCACACTCAGCATCTTCTGAGCTTTAATCCTCTTGGCACTGTTCTCACATGACCATGCCACTCTTTTGTCTTCATCACGAGTTATCTGCCCTTGCTTTCAGCTTTATGCATTTTTAAAATCTAAGTTGGACAATGAGTTCTGAAAGCATTCAAGACGGTCTCTAAGAACAGTGTTCCACCCCCACCCCACCCCCCTGCCTTTTCACTATCAAGCTTCAATCAAAATTTCATCTTTTAGGTGTATCTTTTCTTGGACCGTCTTCCCTCATAGACTTTTAGGTTCTTTGATTTTCCCTAAGTCTGCCCTTTGCTCCTATTACCACCAGGCAGAATAAGTCTAATCCCTTTTCCATGATAGCCCTTCACATTCTTTGATGGAGACTGCATACACCATCAGTCTTTTATTCTGTGTGAAATATCTGCAGTCCCCTCAGTATGTTACATTTCAAACACACTCACTATGGTGGTCTTCCCTCTCTATACTTGTCAGGCATTGTTTCTTAAATGCAACATCCAAGACTGAATACAATACTCCAGGTACTGTCTGGCCAGGGTATGGGACAAGATTACCCCACCCTTGGTCCTGGAAAACTCTGCCTCTATTAACGCAGCCTAAGATTGCATTAACTTTGAGGACTGCTACATCACATGCTGATTTACACTGAGCAGGCAGTCCAAGATAAGCACCAGAATTTCTTCAAGTGAACTAAGGCTGCTTTGCCCTTGTACAATCGATTCCTTGAACTTAAGAGAACTTTGCATTTACTGTCATCTTGTTAAATGTGAACCATCTGTCTTCCACCCCCCACCCCCATTTCCCAAATATGAGGAAAGGGAAAAACCTCAGTCTTTGAAATGCATTCAGTGAGAGGGAATCTGGAGACAGATGTCTTGAAAGGTGAATTCCCATGGTGATACTACTGTGAGGAAAGTGCTTTAAAGCACTATAAAATCTGAGTTGCTATTATCAAAGTAGCCCAGACCATTTCTCAGGTTCTTTCCTACTACCCAGAAGGCCAGTGGAATCTCCCCAGTGATCTCCAACCCTCCTGGAAATATTACTCAGATAACACTGGTTCTTTACAATCTTACGGAAAGCAGGGGGAAGGGCAAGGGAACTAGGAAGGGGAAAAATACACACAGTGGGCAAGAACAGAAACCCCAAATTATTGTGTGCAGGTTTGCCTTACATCAGAATGACAGTGCAAACTTGTTCTGACTTTCCTAAAATATAAGGCTGGTCTTTTCCAGATCACCAGCATCAAAGCAATCTCTTACTTGTTCAACAGACAGTAACTTGATGTAGCTGGCCATATGCTACTCAGCCTCTGCCCCTGCCATACTAGCACACTCACTCTTGGTTAGGTTGATAACTCCTGGTGCTGTTACATTTGCCTAGGGGCATGACTAGGACTGTCTCTAAACAGTCTTGTTTACTGGAAATGCTGACACCATCATTCCAGCCTGTCAATATTTTTCTGGGCTGTGATTTTGCTCTTTCAACTTATTAGCCAATGATCCCAGATACATGTCACACACACAGAGACACTCTTACACTAAAAGTCATGAAATAAGTTTTTCATTCTCAGGAACTGAAAGTAAATAAGAAATGGAATCCTCTCCAGCTCAATTTCTTTCTAATGATCTGAATCCCTTATGTCAGAGCCCATCTCTCCCTGCTGGAGGGCTGCCTATGACTGAATGCCAATTTTTCCAGTAACACTCACAATATGAAACCTCAAGACTAAAGGTAAATTTAGGTTGTTATAAGGTCAGTTACTTACACACTTGTATTTACCAATTCAATATAATGAATTTCATTAAACACCTACTACTTCTGTGCCAGGCAATACATACAGGTACCCCAAAAGGCTTAGTGCAGTTTTAAGATATTAGAGTTATATATAATACATAATATATAAAGGTATTTTAAAAAAAAAAACAGGCCCTGCCCTCAAGGAGTTCCCATTTGACTGGTAGGACCAAACGATTTGCCCTTGCCCTTTCCCCCTCACTTCTAAAAGAAAATAATCCTACTGGAAAGGGGCAGAGGTGACCAAAACATCAGAGACCTAGTCAAGGTTTGAGTCAGAATATTAGGTTCGTCCTTCACATGACTCCACCTATTATCAAGTCTGACTATGTGTTGATCTTCCATTCTCTGAAGATGTTTTCACTTCAAACCCGAAGGAGGGAAAGCACTTTGGCTGTTCTGGGCAAAGTCAGGTAGCTGCTTCCCAGAGCTCTCTGGGAATGGTCAGTTGGCTTTCATCAAACTTCACAAGTTTTGCAAAACTGTGTTTTTGTTTATTTTTTAATATAAAGTCAGCTTCTTGTTGAACATCTTCCATAAAGCCCAGGCTGGGGATCCATCCTAGAATATGAAAGAGTTGGAAAAGACCACGAAAAGTCATTTAGTTATCATCCCATACCCTCTACAACATCCTGGAAAAGCCTTCCTCTACCTTCCACTAGAAGACCTCTGATGATGGGGAACTTACTATCCCAGCACTGTGCCTGGCACACAGGAATTACTTAATAAATCTTTTATCTATCCCAGCTCAACCACTTAACTGTGGTCACAGGCAAATCATACTTAATATCTTTGGTTCTCAATTTCCTCTATAATATATGAGGACTGAATAATCTTCCTCAACGTTCTAGCTCTGAAATTGTGGTTCCCTCCCCCCTATACCAGTCAGCAACTGTCACCCAACGATAACCTTGTTAACAAAACAGTATCAGTTTAGTCCTTTCTAGCCAAGGAAGATAGTGTGGAATGGTGGGGAAAGTAGTGTTTCCACTACCACAGGACCTGGTGAAATCCTCCCTCTTATGCTTACTACCTGTGACCTTGGGCAAATTATTGGCTTTCCCTGGGTCTCAGTTTCCTCATGTGTAGAAGTCAGGAAGGAGAGGGGCTTGAAGTAGATGCCTCTCCCTTCCCTAATCCTTCTTCCATAAGGCATCCCTTTAAATATATATAAAGATATCTGGCACTTTCCTCCTGGGCTGCCTCTTCTCTAGGGTAAATCTCTCCAATCCCTTCAATAGATATTTACAGAACAAGCTTTTGAATCCTCTGACCATCCTGGTCATCTTATCCCATAGGTGCTCTAGTTTAATGTCCTTCCTGTTAATCACAGTTAAAAATAACAATCGCTAGTATGTATACAAGGTGTGCAAAGCACTTCCCAAATATCATCTATTTTGATCTTCACAACCATCCAGGGAGATAGGGGCTAGGAGTATCCCCATTTTGCAGATGAGGAAGCTGAAGAAGAGAGAAGCTAGTGACTGGCTCAGGAATACACAGCTAGTAAGTGTCTGAAGCTGAACTGACTCCAGATCCAGTGCTTTGTCCTCTAGGCCACCTAAGCCAAGAAAGAGGGGCTGTGACCTGTGAAATTCTGGACAGGATGTTTTTATTGATGAAGACACTACGATCACATTAGGGGTTTTAGCTGCCATGTCACACTGATGACTCATAGAGACCTTAGAATCACAAAAACCCTCCCGGTCTTTTTCACAGGAACTGCCACATCTCACTGTTCCTGTCTTTGTTACTCTCTAGGAAAGTTCACAAGGGTTTGCAGGACACCTGCTGCTCCCTGATTCTTAGGTGCACAGCTTAGTCCAGGGACGTTGCCCTAGAGAACAGAGGGAGGAGAAGGGAGTGCTCTCTCCTCCCTGACCCTCGACCAGTCCATGGCAACGTTGGGCATCAGTATCTTCCTTAATGATTCTTCTCTAGCCTTCTGTACCTTCAGTCACTTGACTGAATCAGATGGTCTTCCTATCTTTCAGTTTCATCCTCCTATATCTCCTTTAGACTAGGATGTCTTTCGACTACAATTCAGTAATTCAGCTGCCAGCTATCGCTCATGGGTGGCCATATAGTTAGTTATACTCATGTCCCTTCTTTCTTTCTCCCTGCCATCTCATGAATAATCATGGCAGAGCTGGATAAAAACATGTCAGACACATCTGCTTCACATGTACCACAGTCTAAGTAAGGATCCATCTTCTCCCTCCACTTCTTAAGCCCCTCAGAATTAAGCGCATCAAAAGCAGTTATATAAAGCTGAAAACTTTTTAAGACCGTCATTCACTAACAAAACTGACTCAGATTTATAACACATATGGAATAAATTAACAAAACCAGAAGTTTTTACACTTATTTGAGTTGAGGGAAAAGGGTCATGGTTTGTAATCAAATTTAATATTCTGGAACAAAATTAGTACTTTTTCAAACAGTCGAAGAGTCTGTCTTTCTCTTCCCTCTCCCCTTACCTATCCCCTACCCAATCTCAACCACCAAAAGTCACTTACAGTACATCTATATTCAAGTACAGAAGTCAAAGAAGTTGAAAATTTTTTTTCAGCAACTGGTAGAACTCATAAGCCATAAATAACTTTTTATCTTTTTCGGGAATGATCTTCTTAGTAGTTAAACTTATCTTCCATTACTCAAATTCAGTCAGCAATTAATAGGCTTTTTAAAAAGCACAGCTCTTTCCTGGCATACTTAACAGACTAAGGTTTTATGAGATTGGTTTGGTCCATGGCTGTGAAAAATACACAAATGGTAGCTGTCAGTAATAAATGCATTCCTTCATAGAGCAGTTTTGGAGAAAACACACTCCATATAAACAAATGGTAACGTAGAGATGTCACCAGGATGATGTACGCAGACACAGGAATGGAACATATCACTGCATAGCAGAAGCAGGCGTGACTCATTGCTGAACTCCTGCTAATGAAGAAAAAACCATGAAGAGTGTTAATGTTATGACACACTCACACTTTATCTTAAATGCAGCTATTTAAAAAGTAATCAATAATCTGATTTCCACAAATGAGCCCAAGGAAGGCTATTAATTTTTACTTCTCTAATTTATGATAATTCATGGTAACAGCCTGGGCTGGGCCAAATTCCACTTCTGCAGTAAGTATCATAAAAAAAGCATCTGCTAAACCAAATAATAGTGCAAATGAGAATTTAGGAGAAATGCTTAACTTAGTCAGGAACACAGACTTTTAAAGTATTTTGGCACCATCTATTTGAATACTAACAATTTGATTATTACATAGGACTCTCCTCTGTTATTTAAGGAAGGACTCCAAGACTCTCTACTTAATAGCAATGTTAGTGGTTAGTTATTTGAAAATAATTAGTCTGTGTACTCCTTTAAAAATATTCAGTAATTCAAATTTTTACTAACTCAGACTGAACTTTCTCCAATTTATTCTGAGATTAAAAAAAAAGATCTTAAAATATTTAGGGATTAATGATCCTACAATCTAATGTTCTACAAATGCTAATGTCAATCGACCATCCTGATGTTCTAGCTGAGGCTTAGGTACAAAAGAGTTTTGGAGTCAGGCCTCACAAAAACTAAAGTTATCAGAAAGCCATTTTCCAGAGTAGAAATTGGATTAATGAATGAACGAGAGATTTTGACAAGGGAAGGCATGTTCCCCAAAGCAAAGGAAAAAGCTAAGCTAACAGGCACAGTATGCATGCCAATGGTTTTATGTGAACTAAATCTTAGAACTAGCACAGACTAAAAAATGGTGGGATATACAACTCATGCTTGTATGTAAAGCTTAAAAAGCTATCAATGGGTCTTTTAAAGATTGTTTTCCTTGGATCACAGTTATAATGCTCAGTATGCCAACCTGTAAATGTTAAATCACAGCATAGCATAAAAAGATCTAATTCTATAGAAGTTCACACAGTGACAGGTTTTTCTTGAATCTCTTTTTCTGAAAATAGTTTTTCATCTATCCATGTGGCACAGGACCCTACCACAATCTCTACCCTAACTCAGATCCCTCTTCTTACATACCAAATAACTGTAACGGAGCCAGCCACTTCCTCCCTCTTCCTTTTGGAGATCTTTCAAGAAGCAATCTGGGATAATTTCTATGATCCAGTCCAACTACCTGGGAGGAAGATGAAAGGTGGAAGACAAACAGAGAGGGTAGGATTTGCTCTCTGAGCCCCTGGACATTCAATGGGAAAGGGAAAGGGAGAAGGCAGAGGGAGAAGAGTCAAAACTCAAGATAAGGAGGAGAAGGTAAGAAGAGAACACAGACTGTGGAGGACTACGTACAGGCAGTCCAAAAAAGAAGTCATTCGAGTATTTATGTGTGTGGGTGGGGGCGGGGTGCTAAGTGACCCAGAGGTAAGACAACAGGTTTCAAAAGCTGAAGGCACAATGGCCACAGGGCATAGAAGTGTTAGCCTAGCCAGCCTAGCCTTCAGGGCAATTTTCCTGTAACAGGAAGATGCAAAAGATAAGCTGAATTGCTACAAGCACAAGAGAGTCGCCCACACATGCCTGGAAGGGCTTTGGGGGATAGCAACAGTGGTGGGGGCTGGGGACCCATGACATCTGGTGGGATTGAAGGAGAGATGAGGGTAAACACTAACTGGAAACAGACTGGAGGAGAATCTTTGGTACGAGACTGGAAAGATGACATGGAAAAAGGAATTCTTGCCTCCTTTGCCGGGCTGAATATAGGGCAAGTCTCTGGGGAAAGTGGCCCATTCTTTGACTCAGATGCTAGCTCCTAGAGCCCCCACAAGAGAGGGGTGAATGAGCAAGATAAGTAAGAGGTCCCTAGGGCCTGGTGCCTCCCACACAAAAGTTTCATGCACAAAGGTACTGCCTTCCTCTACTGATCTGTCATCAATTTATCCCATAGATAGCTCATCTGTACATTATTAACATGCTCTCTTGCCCATTAAGAGTATGCGCTCCTTGACAGCAAGAACTGGCTTTAACCTTTCTTTGTACTCCAGTCCTCAGCACAGGGCCAGGCACACAAGAGGTGCTTAGTACATGTTTATTGACTGACTCTCACAGAGCACTACATCCAGAACGCCGCCGGCCTGGGAAGCACTAGAGAATACGCTGTAGAATGACGGCAGGAAGGCTTCCCAAGACCCGCGGCTCCTGTATGAAGAAGGCGGCACAGCAGCATCTCTACTGTGACAGAAACTGATTTTCACACACCACAGCCACCCAAGTCAACAAAACCACTGGGCTCCAGAGAGTGCCAAAGGGCATGATGCAGAAGCACAGTAAAGAAAAGAAAGGCAGCCAGAGCCACAAATGTGTTTTTAAAAAAGTGCTCAAGGGTGAAGGCAGCCAGTTACCCTGGAAGTCTGCACAAGGAATCCCAGTTCACAGGCAAATAAAACGTGAAGTTCAATAAGGAAGAATGCACAGCACCCAAACTGCTAATACTTTTGCTCCAGATGCAGTAGCCTTAAGAGATCATCATACACAAACATTACCAATATGTAAATAAAGGAACGAACTGAAAAGGAGAAAGTTTAAGTGTACTATTAAATCATTTGCTTTATGAACTACAAGACACAAGTAAAACAGAGTCTAAGGAATTTGGCATCAGTAAGAAAAGGCTGAATTTTAGTAGCAACTAAAATCCATCCCAGTAAACAAGGCATGGAACTCTATCCTAAGTGTGACCCACACAGAAGCAGCAACCCCCCTTCCAAAGCTGAGCATATGCACGGATTAGGGAATGGGAAGAAGTCTAAGTCATCACGAAGTTCCCGAAAGCAAAAGAAGTCGTAAGGCCCAGGGAATCTCTTGGTGGGGGAGTGAAGAGAAATAATGAGAAATGAGACTGGAAGTGGTGATTAGAAGAAAAAAGGGAAAGAAGCCAAGAGAAATCTTCTGGCTTTCACTGGCAACGTGTTCCATTTTCACTCCTAGTTCCTTATACCACCAAAATTTGTCTTTCTACCACCTGTAGACTACATCCAGCTCACACATCATATTCTACATGGAAAACAGAGACAGAAACAATCTCGGGTTGGAAGAGACCTCAGAGATCATTTTAGTACAATCTCTACCTAAAGCAGGAATTCCTTTTACAGGCCCCCCGACAGATGGTCACCTAGATTCTGCTCCAGTCTGGGTGAATTCATTAGGCAGCCATTTGCACTTTTTGGACAGCTCTGATTCTTGGAATTTTTTTCCCTCAAGTTAAACGAAAATTCATCTTCTTGTAATTTTATCCATTGGCCCTAGTCTATTCAATAAGGGGCTTACCACCAAACGGCATAAACTTAACTCCTCTTCTACATGACAATTTATCGAATACTTGAAGATGGCCCCTTAGTCCTCCCTAAGTCTTCTCTTCACTGTTCCTTCAACTTCTCCTCCTATAACATAGTGTGGAATCCTTTTAACTGAGTCTCCCTTCCCTGGACATATTCCAACTTATAAATGTCTTTCTTGAAATGTAGCGCCAAGATCCAAATACCACATTCTCAATGTGGCCCAAGAGAGGCAAAGTTCTCCAGAAGTACTACTGTCTCCTTTGCTTTGGAGGTGATACTTCTATTAACAAAGTTTGAAGAAACACCTGCCTCCTCCAATCATGGAGGTGACCCTGGGTTCCCAAAGACTATGCTAGCAAGTCCCACCAACCTGGAAAAGCTTTAAATGCAGTGATTATACTGTGTCTGTTGATGTACTCTTGAAGGTCTCACAGGCAACTCAAACTCAAGTGTCTAAAACAGAACTCATTATCTGTCCTTCCTCTAAATGTCCCTATTTCTCCTATTGTTGTTAAGAGCATCGTCATCCAGTTTTATAGCTTTGGAACAATCTTTGATTCCTCACTTTTCCTCCTGATCCAATCAGATAAAAAGTCTAACCCCATCACACTTCTAGTACTATTTCCCTTCTCTCCTCCTCCCATGGTCACTACCCTAGTCCAGGCTCTTATCTTCTCTCTCCTAAACTACTATAATAGGTTCCTAATTGGTTTACTGCTTCTATTATGTCTCCTCTCCAATCTATCTTCAATATAGCTGCCAAATAATCTTCCTAAGGGTAAACCCTGCCAACTTTACTCCTCTCCTCAAAAACCTTCAGCTGCTCCCTACTGCTTACATGAACAAAGTCCTTAGCCTGACATTTAAAACTCTCCAAAATCTGACTCCTACCTACCCTTTCAGATTTATTCCACAAACCATATTCCTGCCAAAATGAACTTTAGCTATTTCCCAAACTTGACACTCCATCTGCACCTTCATATACTGGCACAAGCTATCCCCATGCCTTGAATACCCTCACTTATCTCCCCCCTATTCCTGTCTTCTTTCATGGCTCAGTTCATCCTCCTCCTGGATGTTCCCCAGTTATCAGTGTTCTTTCCCTCCTCAATTTTCCTCGCATTATTCTTGTTTGTGCATACATTGTATTCTGCTGCCTCCCCCAGAAAATATGTTCCTTAAGGGTAGAGGCTGTTTCATGTTTATTTTGTATCATCAGTGGCCAAAGCACAGTTGCCCAAGGTAGAAGCTTAATAAATGCCTGTTAAGTTGACCAGCCTGGCAAATCGTGGGAAGGCTGAATGCTAAGTGTTGACTTTTTTGCCCAAAGTAATTTATGAAGACTGTCAATAAAGGTACTGAGGAGCTAATGTGCATCAGGGAAAGTGCTGTGCTTCCGGATCCAAATAAAGCTCCTCAGCTTTTCTAGCGGCCACTCCCACTGAGTTTGTGGTTCACCAAAACTCAAGTCTTTTTTTTTTTTAAGCATAAACTATTTAGCCATCTTGCCTCTGCCCAATACTTGTAAGTATAAGGTTTTAAATTTATCTGTAATAAATTTCAAATTTAAATAGGATTTTACTCATTACTCAAGTCTGTGGAGATCTGGGATCCCTATTCTGTCACTGAAGGCCCTACCTACTCCTCCTAGCTTC